GGCACGAGAAGTGCAAAAACGCATAATCGCACCGGCCCGCCTGGTGCGTTCCAGCCTGGGTTTAGGATGGGAGCCCGTATGTGCATGCAGATTAAGTTATCAAAGTTCCAGTCCTGTAGCTTCTGTAGGTCTCGAGATGAAAAATCGGAATAGACGAAAACACACACACACGTACACACACACATACACACACACACACACACACAACCCCTCGTCAATATGCGTTTTCTGCATTGCATCGATGCAAAAAACGCATGAAAAACTATAAACCGTTCGATGTTTATGAGCAATGAAACTAACTTGTCGTCATGTACAGGACGGATGGACGGGCGTATGGACGCAATGAAGTCATGTCCGATCTGCAAAACATAACGCAATCGAAAGGCCAAGATGAATTTACGTGTAAATCGTGCTTCAGCAAAATACTTGATATATCACGCTCATTCCCTTCCCCTCCCAATCCCGGACGCTTACATAACTAATACAAATTCCATCTCTCTTAAGTGTTGGAAAATGGGAAAAAATAAAACAGCAGATTTAAAAAAACCTCTGCAAAGTCGACGAGAACTATAAATGATACGAATACAATGAACGGAAGCAAGAAGGAGCGACGTTCAGTGCGTAATCCGTAAACAAGCAGGAGGAGGAAAATCATCCGCAATGCGACCGCAAGAAGAAGCGATGCTGAAATGTAAACTAATTTGGTCTCAAAATAAACAGAAAAACTGTAAAAACTGGTTCAGCGTCAACAAATAACACTCTGAGTTGAGGCAAATTCAAACACAATGCAAATGGCCGAAAAAAAAATGGCAGTATTTTGAGTTGAAAAGAAATCAGCCCTTACAGATGTATCTCTTGCCCAGCTGATTGATCCAGTGATCCGGCTCCAAACGTCCATTTAGTGCATAAAAATAAAGAAAAAAGACATCGTAGTATTCTGTTTCTTAAGTTTTTTTTACTTTTCATATTTCATGTAGTGATCATTATTTCCCAAAATAATACCAAGAAAAATAAGATTGCGCGGGCTATCAATTTGGGTATCCTTTGCCAGAAATGCTACTAGGATGTTTCCACAGGTCAAGCATAGCTATGCCAGACCCTCCGATCTTGGGCTACACACTTCCAGTTAGTACCCATCGCCTGTTCTACTACGTATGCGCGTTATCTCTTCGGGGGTCGCAAGTAGTTACTTACTTTCTCGTGCGCACCACTCACTGATGTGCATTTTCTAATACAGGTACGTTTGAGATAAATTTAGCAGAAGTATTAAGTCGTACGCAGTAGAGACAGCAACAGTGTTACGCATCGGCTGATGGTGATCCGATCCAACCCATTAGAATTAATGCAGAGATTTTCAAGCGTAATCAAAGTAGGTCCGTTTGTGATATCTGACAACGGCCGGACATATATTTCTGGATTATTTCACCCGGAATTCCTCCTCTCCTTCCCCGCCCCCAGTCAAAATAAATGTTCGTGCAGAAATCTTAAAATGATGATCGTTAAACCGCAAAAACTGATCGATTAGCTCCTTTTTATATATTCCAACAAGTGGCTTAAGGTAGACAGTAGCCCGAGTTATGCTTCATGCGATTTTTGAGTGCAAAAAAAGAGGGAAAAAAAGCAATCGGAAAAAAACAAATGAATGCATGCGGTGGCTGTACCTGTAAGTAGTAGAACATGAAGAAGAGCCAGAACACGAATGTGAGCACTATCTGCGCGTAGGCGATGTAGAGTGTGGCCCGAGTGATGTGCAACGCGCGACAGCGGAACTTGTACTTATCCGCATTCTCGTCCCACAGACTGTCCAAGGGCTGATGCTGCTTGTCACCGGCCGCATCACCACGGCTCGCCCGCTCCGGACCAAAGATTCGGCTTTCTTTGCTCATCGCACACAAAACCTGCAAACAACCACCGCTCAACAATAAAAACAGTATAAACTGCGAGAGCGACGAGGAAGCAATGCGGAATGCTGGGTTTTCCCAAAACACACACTAAAAGTAAAGATTGGAAAGAGAAGGAAATACAGAAATAGGAAAAGGTAAAAGAAAAATTTTTGAGGGGCTGGAGAAAACGTTTCGGTTTATGAAGTCGTATACATTTCCTACCGAAGCCACAGCTCGATTTCGTCCGTACATCTGTACGACAGTTGTGGTAGGATAAACGGCTTTTATGAAGGCAGTTAATATTATGGAAGCTAAATTCTTCGTAATA